AATCATTATATTCAGCTCTCAACTTATCTACATGATCCCCAAGTTTGTTCATCTCAAAAAATGAAAATCCTGTTGCCAAGAATCCAATAGATGCCCCCGCCAAAGTGCCTATTATGGACCGCTTCCTCCTCATCGTTCCTTCTGAATTTTTGATCAACTGATTGATTGATTCCCAATGCTCTCGCACAAATCTCTCATTATCTTGGGTCATCAAGTAATTCATGCTGTCCTCTTTCAACAGTTCCTCACACACTTTCGTCCTATTGTTCTTCACCACACACGCTAAGTCCACCTCTGCACTTCCTACTTGATCCTTCAGTTCATAATGTGTTAGCGCTCGACTTCTTAACCAACACAAGCTGCCCTCTTTTACTCCAAAAGCCTTACACTTGTTCGATCTTAGACATTCCAGCAGACACCAACTTTCCAAGGCTCTGCCTCCCGATACTCCCTCTTCTCTTGGCTCATATTCAATTCCCTGTATGACCGTATCTGCTACCTTATCTAATCCCGTCTTACCAGCTCCTACTTTGCATCCCGCAGCCATTAGATACTTATCTAGAGTAACGGACCCTTGCCCACACCCTAAATTGCATAAATTCACGTCTGCTAATGGGTTCGGAACTCGAATAAAACTCGATATGTACGCTGACCTCTGATCTGCTAGTAACAGTCCCTTCGAAATCAGTATGGTTCCTAGTTCCTCATTCACATAAATCTCCTCATTCGCTCCAGCCACTCTGGCTAACATTATCACAAAATACCACTTAATCATCCTGATAAAAGTCGTTATTATGTTTAACCATTTTACATTCGTTATTCATTCACAGCAATTCATTTATTGAAAATTCAAATATCAACTTGTCACTTTTCCCTTTCCCTCTTTAATTCTTATAGTATGCGCATACTAATTTACCTTCTTCACATTACTTCCTCCCTGTGTATCTTATCTTTCTCTCCTCTCTTTCTCTCTCTCTCTCTCTCTCTCTCTCTCTCTCTCTCTCTCTCTCTCTCTCTCTCTCTCTCTCTCTCTCTCTTTCTCTCTCTCTCTGCTCTTGCACTAGTGCCTTATTTCAATTGTTCTCCTTCAAATCACACTTCTCTCTCTCTCACCCTCTCCTTATTTCTCACGCTAGCGTAACTCGGGGCCCCTCCTCGTCTTACTCTCCTCCTCCTCAAACAACTACAAGAGCTCTTAAAAACCTTCCATAATAATATCACTATTGCCACTCTCTCGATCCACATTATTACCGCATTAATCATTGTTGATATCTTCCCATTGAATATTCCCAGGAACTCCCAAAGTGAACTAACCTCCCCACCTTCTGATCCCTCTATTTTGCTGTCATGATTTAACGAATTCTCCTCCATTACTAGCCTGTCAATCTCAGTATCTCTTAAGTCTTCCGCATTATACACCCAATCTGCTTGCATAAAATCTATCACCCCTACTCCTTCTTCCATTTGACTAGTCAGGTCTATCACGTTACTTACATTAACCTTATGTGTATCCTCAGATTGTGCTGAGTGCCATTCTAACTTTCCTTTTACTTCCGTTATTATTGGCTGCTTTTTGTGACAGTTTACCTCTATTCCCCTGACTTCAACTTTATTATGCCTTGGTAAAAGGAATCCCTTATGTTCCGTTTCCGATCCATTAACCTCGAATTTTACTGGTAAACCGTCATAGCATTTCCCTCCCGTCTGTTTGATCCATTTTAACTTAGTTACCTCTACGCATGGGTAAGCTACCACATAGTCCCCTGCTCTCCGTCCTACCAATAAATTATTGCCCGTCTTTTCTCTAATATACGTCGTAGGATCTATCATAGCCGTCATTTTTTCAATCATTCTTAACCTATTCCAGACTTTGCATAAATATATTGCCTGTGCTTTAGGTGATTTGATCAGTTCCACCAGGTATTCAAATCTGCTATTTAATTCATCTCTTAGTGCGTTTATTGATTCTTCATTTGAATTCACTGCCTTAACTACGTGATCCTTCCTACTTTCCTTAGTTACCCTAAATTCTCGATCTACCCATTTTGTGACATTCACTCCTCCCTTCACCTCAATTACCAACCCCAACTCCTCGATTAATAAATGCCCATTAATTTGAACTGCATCATAACTTCCCACTTCCTCGAAACTTTCTCTCACTTCCGGTCTCACTTCCCATCTTAAATACATTTCATCCCCAGTCTTGCAATACCCCTGATTATATTTACACCCTCTAAAACTCGTTAAATCTGTTCTCGCTTCATGGCCGTGCTTCACATACACTGACCCTTTAACATGTTTACAACTAACTTCCACCGTGGTTATCTTTTCCATCCACCCCCATTTACAATTGTAAAATCTCTTACCCTCATTTTTGACCACTTCTCCTTTATCATCAATGCATCCTTGTAGACTTATCACCTTATCAGCTGTCTCCTTCGTCAATCTCGCATAACTCATCGTTTTATCGTTCGTTTTTTCTCCAAAAAAGCTTTCTTCTGTGACACACTTTCGTTCTACCACCACCAAACCCTCTGCTTTGCTCTCATATTCTCGGATGTTCTTCTTTTCCAACCTTACTCTCCACTCTTCATACTCACTTCCCGTAATAACTAAGCAATAACTACACCTGAAATGACTTGAACGGTCAATTTAAACGCTACTTTAATCTAAATTATATATATTAATCAAATACCCTGTCAACCTTTCCCCTCTCTTCCTTTTCAAAAATGAAACTTACCCCTCTTCCCTTCAAAAATATTAAACCCTGTCAACCTCGTCCCTCTCCCTCTTTGATAACCTCCTCGGCCGCCCTGTCTTTGTGGGCAATCTCTTCCAATATGTCCCGGTCTCTCACACGCATAACAAGGAATGGGCTTTCTACCTTCCCTAGCAATATGTCCATGCTGTCCACAGGTGTAACACGCGCCTACTTCCCCTCTCATCCTGCTTTCATCCATCAGACGGTTCACGACCCCCTCATCTACTTCTACATTCTCCCCAATTTGGAACAACAGCTCCTCATCATTCCTTACTGGTTTAGGATTACGACTTGCTAGAATCCCGTCCAATTTAACCGCCCTCTTTAACGCTGCCTCAAAATCCTGCACTTCAGACTTAATTAATTCTATCCCGATTTCATCCTTCAATACTCCTGCGGTAAATACATCCAGCCTGATGGTCTTCTTAATTGCCTCTTCCTCCGGTGCATAGGCAGCCTCTGCCATCTCAGTGACCCTAGCTGCAAAGTCCGAAATGGTTTCCTCCTCCTTTTGCTTCATCTCATAAAGTCTACTCCTGCACTCCGCCTTCGAATGAACCTCGCTCAGCACCTCGGTTATCCTCTCAAAACTCGCTTCAACATCCCTCTTTTCTTCTTGGGACAACCTTAGAGTCTCCACTCTCCTTTGGGCCTTTGGATCCAAGTAAGTCATGATCATATCTACCAAGTCCTCCTCCTTAATGTCGGCAGCATGAGCAAATATTCTAAACCCGCTCAGGAAGGTTCTAAAACTGTCTCTCCCCAGCTCAAACATTCGTGGTTTCATCAAGGGGTAATTCTTACCCGCCGCTGCTCTATTCTCTTCTCTTACTCTCATCTTTCTCTCATTCTCTTTCATGGCTTCTAATTTACCTTCTGTAAATCCATCCCTCCTTAGCTGTGCCCCGTGCTGTCTCAACGCCTCATATTGCGTCCGTAACTCCTCGTTTGCTGCTTCAGTCTCCTCGCGTTCTATCCTTAGTTCCTCGCGTTCTTTCCTTATTTTCTCATTTACCTTCTTTACTTCTTCTAATTCCTCTCTTAATTGTGTTTCCATGTCCTTGCTTATTGCAGAATCTTTTTAGATCACGACCTCTTTAATAATGATACCCTCTCCCCCCTATTCCCCCATAATTAAAATACAAATACACTAACTTATAATAAAATAAGATCCTACCGTTCGCGCCATTGTAAGCAGTGGACACTTGCTTTTGAGTTCGTAGTTATTTGTATTTAATTATGTTTACAGACCAATGAAAACAAGATAACTAATAGGAAACAACTCGGATAATAACAAAGGATTACAAATCGACTATACTGGAATACACCTCTAAATTACGCTACCCTTAAATAACTTCTACAGCCCTTGCAGCACAACGCCTAGTATCTTAGTATATCTGCCCGCTCTTCCAGAGCCCTGCTGTGGTTACAAGACCACCCCATCGTCTGGCTCTATCACGCCCTATTCTGCCTACTTCCCCATCACGGTCAACCCCTGTTGACCGTGCCTAACGGGATTCCGCCCTTAATCTACTCTTACAAGACCTCTACAGCACTCGAAGCTCAACGCATGGTATATTAGCCCGCTCGTCCAGAGCCCAGTTGTGGTTACACTACCACCCCCTCGTCTACATCTAAGCCAGGCAGGTACCGGAGCACAGCTCCACTATATATAATGGACCGTGACAACCTTCTCTCCAGGACCCTACCGTAACGGTTCCTGGATCCAAGGTGTCCGGCATCAATGACCCTCCTCGAATCGGGCAAACTCGCTATCCTTGCCTCTCCAAGCTTTTTACTATTTATAGTGCTCAGTGCGTGCTTTTTCACCCTATCTCCACACGTGCGCCCTTCCCACCTTGAGCAGCTGGTCTTATCTTCCAACAAAAGATTCATTGTTCCAAGTCACGGTGTCCCGACGAAGTTTGGTTTTAATCAAATGAACAAATCAGATGAAGCTACAATTCTAAGGATTCCAAGGTCGTCATAAATCACGCCTAATATCCTATTGTCCTCCCGGTCCCTGACTTCATTTATCAATTAGGCTACTTGCTAACTTTATTATCCTCCCTATCTAACTCTCTGACCACAAATTCATACTATAATATAAGATTCTCCGAATAAAAGTTCATACTGCAATATATTAACGTAACTCTACAAAATTCTCCGAATAAAAGTTTATACTACAATATATTAACGTAACTCTACAAATCACTGCTTACAAAGAAACGTTCGCCAGCTTTGGTAAGCTCATCGATAGTGAAATAGAGAAGGGGGGAGGAAAGCGGTTTTCTGAAATTGGCTACGGTGACGATCAAACCGACCAAAACCTAGCTTTCGAGACTTGGATAAAGGACCTATATAGAAAATGCTGCACTGAATACCTACCCTCAAGCATTCAAGCACTTGGGGTCGTGAGCAAAGAGAGAACTTTCGACTATCTTTACAGGTGGAGATATTGCAACAAAAGAAGCCTCAATGAATGCTTCCAAGGGATAGTTGGTCCTTTGAAAAAGGTTTTCGAATTCACCATTAAAGATAAAATAAAGCTTCCATCAGGAAAGAATTATTTGCTTGTTCTATCTTACAACTCCGATGACGAGTCCGCATTGTTTCGTCCAGGAGACCACCTAGGAATATTTCCTACAAACTTGTCGTCTAAAAAAGATGAGGTGATTAGACGTTTTCACGATATTCCATTTCGTGGGATTCCATTAGTCCTAGAAGAAAAGATAGCAGTCCATAAGTCTTGGCGGGAGTGGAATGTTAATTTTTCAGGACTTACTTTTGATGAACTCCTATCCAATGTTACAGACCTCAACAGCATACCCCTCGGCTTAGAAAGATTGCTGGAAACAGTGACAGTGGAGAATGGAGATAGTAAGAACAGACTAAGCAAGACTAATACTACTAAAATAGACTGTGCACATTTCATTGGAGAGATGCCGACTATCAATAGACGACTCTACAGTGTGGCATCTCTCCAGAACAAGGACCATACCGTCAATATTTTGGTAGGCATGCAGGAATTCGGTAAAGCAGGATTGACCACAGATTTCGTGAAACATGCGCCTATTGGTGAGAAGATTCAAGGATACTTCATCAGCAGCAAGGAGCAAATGAGACTGCCCCAAGATGACAACCTTCCTTTGCTCTTAGTTTCTGCCGGATCCGGCTTTGCCCCTTTTATGTCATTTATAGAGTTTAGGGAACGAGCAGTTCGCGCTGGTGCTAAAACAGGACCTATATTTATCTTCCACGGTTGCAGGTTCAAGGAGCAAAATTTTCTAAACGAGCTGCTGAAGAAAGCCAGTACTGTGCTGACTATAAAGACCTTCAGAGCGTATTCTAGAACCGAACCCGTCCAATCTGAAGTGGGTCGGTTTCGTACAATCTGTCACGAGATTTTTGCTAGTAATCCAGGTCCAACAACAGTGTCAGTGAAAAAAGGATATGTACAGGATCTCATAAAAAAAGAGGGTGAAGTGGTTGCCAGAGTCGTAAGAGATGGTGGTTACATATATGTATGCGGAGGAACAAATATGGCTATTGGAGTCAGGAGACAGTTAGAGAGCACTTTGGAGGAGTGGAGGAGTGTGCCGCTAGGGGAACTGATCATTAACAAAAGATATCAGGAAGAAAAGTTTTCATGATTCACACCGACCTGCCCAGAACCTCGTGCCTCAGAACCTCATTTAACCCTCGCGGCGCTCCTTTCAAGCACGTGTACTACTGCCCCAGTGACTCCGAGCTTCTGGTCGGGACCCAGTGAGAGGAGGCAACCTACCACGGGTAACAAACAAGATACGAAGCAGGGGATTTAAAGTAAAGGGCACTGGATCAGATATCCTGAACTACAAGAATATTATAGCCAGTGCTAGTCTATGTACTACTGACTTTAAAGAGTAACTGCGAACCTTGATGAGGGACAGGGATATATGGAGAGGGTTATCTGGCGTTGACGGGACTACGTTCCGACCTATAACAGTATAACTATTAGTAGTAGCAGCGAAAGATTCTGCAATTGTTAATTAAATGCAGAGCAATATGTTCAATGATTTAATTAGTAAGGTTGTGAGAAAAGATTCAAAATTGTATTTTACTTTTTCGTTTAACTGTGTGTAAAATAAAATCTACATATAGAACTATTTTTAAAGGTGGGCAAAGATTCTTCATGCCCATGTGGGCCACGAAGATCTCTGGAAAAAGATAAGAAAAACTTTAACCTTAGAGAATACTGGAAATGAATTAAATTCAGAGCTTAGAGAGCCAGAAAAGTGAAAACAACGATCATAAAATCTAGAAACCTTTATCATGAGCTACGAAACCTTAAAGAAATTGAATGTCGACGGGGACGGGGACGGGGACGGGGACGGGGACGGGGACGGGGACGGGGACGGGGACGGGGACGGGGACGGGGACGGGGACGGGGACGGGGACGGGGACGGGGACGGGGACGGGGACGGGGACGGGGACGGGGACGGGGACGGGGACGGGGACGGGGACGGGGACGGGGACGGGGACGGGGACGGGGACGGGGACGGGGACGGGGACGGGGACGGGGACGGGGACGGGGACGGGGACGGGGACGGGGACGGGGACGGGGACGGGGACGGGGACGGGGACGGGGACGGGGACGGGGACGGGGACGGGGACGGGGACGGGGACGGGGACGGGGACGGGGACGGGGACGGGGACGGGGACGGGGACGGGGACGGGGACGGGGACGGGGACGGGGACGGGGACGGGGACGGGGACGGGGACGGGGACGGGGACGGGGACGGGGACGGGGACGGGGACGGGGACGGGGACGGGGACGGGGACGGGGACGGGGACGGGGACGGGGACGGGGACGGGGACGGGGACGGGGACGGGGACGGGGACGGGGACGGGGACGGGGACGGGGACGGGGACGGGGACGGGGACGGGGACGGGGACGGGGACGGGGACGGGGACGGGGACGGGGACGGGGACGGGGACGGGGACGGGGACGGGGACGGGGACGGGGACGGGGACGGGGACGGGGACGGGGACGGGGACGGGGACGGGGACGGGGACGGGGACGGGGACGGGGACGGGGACGGGGACGGGGACGGGGACGGTGACGGGGACGGGGACGGGGACGGGGACGGTATCATGGTGGTGTGGTGCACAATTGTCGCCAAAATTTTGGATAAAAATAATATATTATCTGTATGACTTATCCTCGTCAGTTATAGGGACTGTTACATCTGAGAGACTTCCTAAAATCCAAATGGGAAATGCTTGGGCACATTCGTAACTCTCCAAAGCTGTTAGCACTAAGCTTTGCTGTTGATAGTAATACCATGCTAAATACGAAAGGAAGAATTGGCAGGTATCAAAGTAATGTTTAAAACTATTCTACGTAACATTAATAAAATAAACGTTACAAGCTATTTTTATTATAAAAGACTGGAAACCTTGCCTCGAACCGTTATATTGTATGGAGAAATACATATTGGTTGTAATGTTAGACATTTTTAAGTTCATGTTCTAAATTTATTGTCCATGGGACAGTTTTGGACAGATTAAGACTGTATTCATTTTATACAGTTTTAAAAACAATTATTGACATAGCCAATAGTTGTCAATAATCGTCTTAATGTACTTCAACAGTTATAAAATTACATTTAATGCACACATAACAGGTCATCTTTGTTGAACTATGTTGATTTCTGGTGAAACTGCAGGCGTACTACTTGCATCAACAGGACAAGTAACTAATCAAATATGAAATAATGTAAAATGATAGTCCCTTTGGTTTAAAGTAGTTAACCTCGTAAGGGTTTTGCACCAGTTCAATCTGAATGTTCACAAAATACACAGCATGCCTTTTTTAGCTTCTGTTTGGCCTCAAAACCTCAAAACACTTAGGTGCACACACGATTTATGATACATACGCAAAAAACGTATACAAAGATTTGGAAGTTCCTGCACAGCACTTATTATTGAGTTTTTTGGACCAGTTCCAGAACCTGTCTTCACGGTTGCACTTGTCCGGTAAATTTTGTTGTAGTGGGTGCACAGTTTTATATGAGCCAGCGTTTATCGTCGTCCACTTTGAGGTGAACAATATAGTTCAGGAGACGATATATCCTCTCCTGAACTTACCTCATGGTACTCAGCTCCGAGTCAATTACATTGTTTACTTTGTACTTCTTTTTCAAGGTAAATTAAGTCATTTGTAGCACTCTTCTTTCTGATTAAGTGATTATACGGCCCGAGTGCCCTGCACCACCCCGTGATCACTCAACAAATTAAAACTAAGTCACGTTAGTCGCATATTATATACACACAATGTGTTGGAATCTATTTCTATTTAATAGTTGTACTGTTAACCCTTCTATGAGGATAATTATACTCCATATCCACCTTGCATCGCAACAACAAAGAAACCGTCACAAGGGTCTATACCATATTTCAAAATGTTCTAACGTTTTAAAGGTAGATGAAAATTGTGTATAAATAACAAGGCTACATTGGATACTATCCACGTAGCGTGGTGTTCAAAAGCCAATCGAAGTTGTTCCGTTTCTAATGTGAGGGCTGAGCGTAATAGTATATAAGGTCACAAATACCACAACCTACACGCACGTACACGAGTCCTCATGAGGTGACGGCAGACACTGCTCCAAGACCCCTTTCCAGTGTCCACATCATTCGATACACGTTATCATACATGCTCCGTTCCAGAGTAACACATTTCATTTTAACCAGTCATTGTTAATGTGTTGTCAGGTTTACTTGGACGTTTTGATTATTATTTTATCGGATTGCAATCTTATTTCGTGGGAATTTGTTTCTGTAGAAGCCGCTACATTACAGGGAGATGTTGCAGTTCAATGTATTTATCTAGCTTTTGTAAAACTCCCTGTCTTCACGTACGCAATCTCTAAATAAATTCCTCTTAGTTACAGTTGGCAACGATGGTCAGCTTAGACGACAAGCAGAAACCTTCCCTACTCTCTCAGATCTTCCATGCTCTCACATTCAGACGAGACTTCCTCAGAAAACGATTCATCGTTCGCTGTAGTCTTTTGTTACTTGGTTTATTTATATTTATTCGACTGTTTGGTAAAAGTGGTATAAATGTTGATGTTCATTTTGGAGAGCCAGATCATACGCACGAAAGTTTCTTAGAGTACAAACGTGATGACAATCGTCAAGAGAACATAAATAATGAAGCCTATCAAAAAAAGATTGAAAGACGAGCTCAGGATGAAATGCTGCAAAACCTAGGTGGTTTACAACCCCCTAAAAAAGACAATGCTATAGTAAAAGCTATCGAACCAGTAATACCGAAGGAGCCTGAAAAAGTTGCACCGATAGAGCCGGAGTTCGTCCACGCTTTTGTAGGTAAGACAAAGCTACCGCCTGTTTATTTGGACTTTGTGGATCTAAATCAGCCTTGGGACAAAGCGCAAGAGGTAAGGTACTAAACATTACGTTATTGGTTTTTCAGGCATGCCTTTTAGCGATTGCACAGAACTTTAAGTATTAGATAGGTTCCCTTTGTTGATAAGATAAGATTATAATTCCGATGAATTGCACCCTTCGCACTGGTTCATGATTCCCCCTAACCCTTACCAATATACATGTTAAAGTTAAACTTAAGCAAAGCCTAAAACGTTTACATCAGGAATCTCTAAAGAAAGATTGGAAACTGAACAAGTACCTAAGTGACCGGACGCCTTTAAACAGGGACACAGCGGACGGTAGACATCCCACCTGCAGTGAGAGATTGTTCCAGAAAAACCTTCCCACAGCAAGTGTCGTGCTAGTATTCTACAATGAGGCATTAAGTGTCGTCTTACGGACAGCACTGACTGTTCTTAAAGAGTGAGTAATCATTTAGTGGTAATGTCATTAGGTATTTCGTTTCAGTGCACCTATTATTATAATTTGACACGCTCTCCAGTTCGACAGGTACCGTAGTTCGACAAACCCTAAAGTTCTAAAGTCAACCTAAAATGCGCTACCTGAACTCTAATTCGGCACTTACCGGAGTTCGACCCTGGTGATTTCTGGCAAACTTATGTTGTCGACCTAGAGTGCGTATCATACTAGAATAGTGAATACGTGAATCGCATAAATGATATGTGTTCGAAGTATTCCATTATTTATCAATGGCTGATGGTATGGAGCCACGCATAATAAACAATCCCCCCCCTCCCACTCATGTGAATACAAAACTAATTTCAGATCTGACCCTCGGTTGATTCACGAGATACTACTGTACGACGACTGCAGCACAATTGAAGAACTAAAGGCACCTCTGGAAAGAATGATTGCATCTTATCCTAAAATACGTCTTGTTCGAGCGGCAGAACGGGGCGGTCTAGTAAGAGCACGACTCTATTCTTCAAGGGCTGCCCGAGGTGAGGTACTTCTCTTCCTGGATGCTCACTGTGAACCTACTCCGGGATGGCTGGAACCACTGCTGGAGCCCATATCTAAAGACAGGACTGCAGTGACGATGCCCTCTTTGGATGTGATAGACTGGCAAACTTTACAGTACTCTGGAGCTGATACTATATATGTGATAGGTGGGGTGAATTGGCTGATAAACATGTTGTGGGCTCCTATTCCTAAAAGGGAGAGAGAAAGAAGACAAAAGGAGGATCCATATCCCATCACTGCAAACCTAAAAACAGCTAGCATGGCTGGAGGACTTTTTGCAATGGATAGGTTGGTTCAAAATTGCATATAGTAAAAACCTTTTACTTCCTTCAACGGGGAACAATAAAAACTTGAAAAACAAAACATATTGCAATTCTGTTTCTTTAACTGTAAACAAAACTAAAACAGCTGTTAAATAAAAAATCAATGATTGGTACACGACAGTGATGTATGTATGTTTCATTCCAGGTTGTATTTCAAGGAACTAGGTGAATACGACGAGGGTATGGGAGTGTGGGGCGGTGAGAACATGGAGCTATCATTCAGAGTTTGGATGTGTGGAGGTTCCATGCATTTCATTCCCTGCTCCAAAGTTGGGCACATCTTCCGACCATCACATCCGTACGACTTCATGGGGAATAACGGGGATGTTGTCCGAAAGAACTATATCAGAACAGCCAGAGTATGGTTTGACGAAGAGCTCGACTTCTTCTTCAAGATTAGACCTCAATTTGCTGAGGTGGATGTTGGTGATTTGAGTGATAGGTTAGCCCTCAGAGAAAGGTTAAATTGTAAAAGTTTTGCCTGGTTTATCAGAAACGTTTATCCTGAGCTGCCCTTGCAGCGAGATATGGTCGGAGCTGGTGAGTTTAAATCTGGGGAGGGTCGCTGTATGGACACTCGTGGAGGTGACCTAAGGCAAGGAGGAGTCCTTTATCTCGGAACCTGTAACGATGGAGGTGGAAGGAATCAAAACTCAAACAAGTTTATGATGCTCACAAAAGACAACAAGTTGATGGGATTAAACTTTTGCGCTGACAGCGGATTTTCTGAGGAGTTGCAGTTTCACATTTGTCATGATCAGGGAGGCGCCCAGGCGTTTAAATACGATCCTGTTACAAAGCGCATCCACCAAGATGGTGGCAAGAAGTGTGTCACGGGGGACATAGGTAAAGGGAAGGTTATTACGGCAGATTGTAAAGACGGTGATAAATCTCAGTCATGGGAATTTGAATATAAATATTAAGTAAATATTAAATATCGGTTTTTGTTTAAGGCGTCAAGAAAATTCACGAGTTTTCCAAGATAACTGGCCTAATAAAACTTTGAGAGTTTGAGGTTGAACCAAGCAACTTATTGAATGATACATATCAATTTGCAAGTGATTCTACAACAGCCACGGTATCTTGTGTACATCTGTATTGTTCAATAAAGTAAAATAATTTGATAAAAAATTATTTAATAAAATAATTATTTATTTTACAGTACAATTTAACAACATCAATGATAAATAAATCAGCGGAGGCTTGAGGAGGTTTCAAGTGCCGAAGGTCACTAGTGACCTTCGGCACTTGAAACCTCCTCAATAGTCAATAAGCAGCTGCTTATTGACTATTGTTGGATTAGAGAAACCATCTCAACCATCAGCTACGAAATTGTAAAATTATACAAAATATAAAATTGTAAGAATCTAAAAATACTTCAACAAACAAAGTCTTATTCTTAAAAACTTTTGGGTATATTTGTTGACATAGGAAAGCCCGCGTTCAATTAATGTCCGTTCAAATAAAGTCCAGTAAGGTACCTAGTACCTACATAATGTAAACACTCAAACCCCAATTTACTGTGAACCCCGGCCCGATTTACTGTGAACCCCGATTTACTGTGAACCCCGATTTACTGTGAACCCCAATTTACTGTGAACCCCGATTTACTGTGAACCCCGATTTACTGTGAACCCCAATTTACTGTGAACCCCGATTTGCCGCGGCTGAGTAGTGAGTTGAGTGAGAAAATTGCGGAAGTTTTAAAGGAATGTAAAAATAAAATAAAACTAATTGACATTGTTTCATTGAAAACTTATTGTTTCATTGAAAACTTATTGTTTCATTGAAAACTTATTGTTTCATTGAAAACTTATTGTTTCATTGAAAACTTATTGTTTCATTGAAAACTTATTGTTTCATTGAAAATTTATTGTTTCATTGAAAATTTATTGTTTCATTGAAAATTTATTGTTTCATTGAAAATTTATTGTTTCATTAAAAATGTATTGTTTTATTGAAAACAATTATTGTTTCATTGTAAACCTATTGTTTCATTGTAAAATGTTAATGTCATATGGATGAGCCCTAAACAGGCTTCGATGACTCGTTAACTTAATGAAAGATTTGTAATTGTCATGAATGACGATATAACCAAAACATTTGCTCTAACCAAAACATTTGCTCTAACCAAAACATTTGCTCTAAGTCTAACCAAAACATTTGCGCTTGCAGTACGTGGCGCGGGCGCCGGCCGTCAGGCGGTAAAAATATTTTTTAAATTTTATCAAATCAATCCGAAAATATTCGTATCGCCATGTTCTTCTGAATTTTACTTTTCCGAGAAGCCAGCGCACTTGATATACTTCATTGAATTTACATGACATAGGGTTAAAATGCTCCCCTGGCGAGATATCGGCGGAAACATTTCTCGATCACATGACATGACCAAATAAGGAAGTTAGTCTAATTTCTCGTATGGGTTATGGTTTTACCATATTATGCTTTAATACCATTATATGCTTAATGCTTGAGTGAGAGATTGGGTTAGGGTTAAGATTGGGGTGATCAGAGTATATACGTTATAAGGAGACTAGTAATTGCAAGAGCCTGAAATGGAGGTTAATCCGGTGTCAAACTAACAATTTTCTGTCTGGAATGCAGACACGTTCAACACGTACTGAAGTTTGACAAAAGGTCTCGAACTACATAGTGTGCGTCTCGAACTAAAAGACGTGAATCGATTGTGATCTGTGAATTGGGGTTGATTTGCTTGGTTCGAGCTGGTCCCCTAGTAGCTCGAATATGCGCTGTCTCATATTATGGAAATACCTTAATGTCGAGAAAAAGTCACACATCTCTTCTTTGACAGACCAAACGTACAATCCTAGTTACCAACAATTGTGGGTAACATCCCTCATTAAATTCAATTGGAAAATACTGGTGTCGTTTGCCAGGGCCTAGAAAAACACATTAGCCCTTTTAATATGTTTTACTAGCCCTGACATAACATTTGACAATTAATCAGATATCCGTCCAAAAGTTCCGAACGTTCTATATCAACTTAAAATCCTAACTTTTTTAATAACTGACCTAATTTCCTACAATATGGATTTACTCCTTCAGACTTCATAAGATCTCCATCCCAGCAATACACCTCCTTCACCCCAAAGTTGACATACTTCCGGGGACACAGAATATTTACTTTTGTTTCATGTTTTACTGGTAACGTTGGAACAGTATCCTGCTTGATGTCCTTCCAGTTTCCATTTACTTCGACGTTACAATTTCCTGAAATTATTTTCATTCAATGCAGTATACCTATAATTATATTATTTATAAATTCTTAAATAATATAAATCCGATAGATCGTAAACTCCTTGATAGGTTTTAAATATATCAATGAGTCATTTATGTGGCACTATCAAGTTTTCTGCTCCTAATTTGGGTAACAATTATGGACTTACTGGGGCCTGTTACATTTATCTTTGCAGAGCGGATTAGCTCTGGCTCACTGTCCATCAGGAATTCGCACGTGTATTCTCCAGCATTCTTCAGAGTAGGATGGAACTTCGTAAGGATCGCTTGCTTTTCTTCTAACTTGAGCTTAACATTTCCGTCTGTTTCCTCTTTGATAAGCTGTGATTCTGATTGACTGGAAGCTTTATGAAACCACTCGACAGCAGATGGGGTTTTTTTCCCGATAATGTTGCACGAAATCTCGAAATTGGAATCCTTTTGCTTGTATAGAGTTGTCAGCGAAATCATGACCACTGAAATTACAGCATTTATCAAAAAGATATTTGCTCTGTGATTAACATGGCAAGCAATATTATAGGCAATAATGTTTATTGCATTTATAATATAATCAAACCTGGTGGACAGTATATTTTATACACATCCATCGCCCAATCTCCTCCGACTCCGTCCCTACAGTTGTCAGAACTTCCATACTTCTTATACGTCTCACCAGCATTTACTGCAGTGTAACACTCATTTCCATACTCAACTGCAAACACCTCGTATCCTTTTTCAGCTGCTCGTTCATGGCAATTGTCCATAAGATTGTCGTAGAAACGAACCATTGGTTCGTTGATTGCACGCAGTGCCGCATCCGTCCAACAGCCAAGATGTTGCCGCGGACAATTACCTGAAAAAAGTGAAAACCACACAAAAACAGTTACACTATGATTATAAAATACTGACCACACTATAATTAACCAGTAGTTTAGCTGGGAATTTTACGAGAAGAAACGCTCACGAGAATTTGTTTGAATGATCGTGGGAAAATTTGTTTCATTTGTACTGACCGTTTGTGTGCACTGATGTCAAGAAACATATCGCTATTACGAGCAAAATCGTTTTATCCATGTTTCAAGCTCTACAATCTACATTCGATGACCTATCCTGCATTGAGTTTTATGATTTAGTTAGAAATCACGCATTATTGTCAGGCTTTATAATCGGTCAATCAAATTCAAATTGGTGCCATTCATTTTTAAGGCGCTGGTACAGTGGGACTGTCAAGAGTTGGGTGAGTCAACAGATTACTTACTATAACAAATATCTTCAACCCCCCCCCTCCCCCAGATGTAATAATAAACGTTTTAATTAATCGTGCATTGTACATACACTATAAACCCTAAACCCCCTAATGCCAGCAGCGACCTGCACATACACCACATTTCCGACCGAGCCTTCATGATTTATTAATTTATCGAGAGTCTCGTCCATGCACCCACACCCCTTTGCAGTCTTACCCGTCCCATCTTGCAGTTTCAAGCGAACAGTATTTATATATGTTTCTCGCACCCATATGAATTAAAGGAGAGCAGTATACCAGCGTACGAGCAAATATTGAGCATGGGGACAATGTAACTCCTCGCCCAGTCTCCGCTCAGGTCACACAATTCTCTTGTTTCTTTTGTTCCCGTCAGATTATTTGTAAATGATCCAACGGGAACAAAAGAAACAAAAGAATTAGGTGACCTTAGTGGAGACTGGGCGAGGAGTTACATTGGCCCTGTGCTCGTTAGTAACCATTTGAGCATTTATCTTCGTTGGGAATTAATATTGGAAGATAGATTACATACACACTGAGCATTGTTCAAAATGTAACTACATACTATAACTATGTTCCTAACACTGGGCAAAAATCTGATCTGATTGTCTTACTGAGCATTCTTTCTTCTCCTCAACAGAAAGATTGATATTACCTACTATAATAATCTAGGAAGGCAATGGTTTGATCCGTGCGGCCTGTAGGAAGTTCTTTATTACACTTGATTGAGTAGTTCATGACCTTGTGTATGAACCGTGATGGGACATTTTCCATTTCAGGGGTATCTAGAATACAAAAAGTCGGGTCGGACTCATTGTATATTCAATTTCAAATAAAATCGAATGGTACTCCAGTCATATTTAATTTTTATAATAAATTATACATATTACATAAGGCTCAGCCTATTGCCTAAGCACAAAGACAGTTGCAAAAAAGGAGAACATAATGTATCATCACGTGTTTTAGTCACGTGGAATATCGAGAAAGGTAGAGCAGATATGATATGGGTTAATTACTTATTAAAACGAACTTATTGTCCGATCCAGGATATGACTATGAGGGTAACCAACTCCTGTCCGAAAGCGACATCTGTCCGACAGCAACATCTGTCCGACTCAGGGTACCAGAAAAAACGACATCTGTCCGAAATTGTTACCTGATTTCAATACGACACATTTCCAATTAGAGACATGATCTAAACTGTTACTTGCTAAATTGTATACGTAACATGTCCAATTTGAGATATGATCTGAGCCATAGTTTACTACCACAGTTTATTTTCATTTCATGTCGATAAATTGGACAATAGTTTCAATGTTATTTAAATGTTATATAAATTAATTCAATATAATACAGTATCACAGCATCAAATCTAAAGCATAGTCAAATTTCCGATAGCTTTAAGGAAATCCATAGGGTTGCTGTAGTTGTCGTAATCATCTACAATTCTCTGAAGTTGTCGATCATAACGGATTCATTAATTGGGTGCACGTGGCTCAGGTAGTTCCCGCCCGTCTCTTTTGGTTTTCTGCACGTCTGTAAGGGCTTGTTCTGCTTTAAGGCAATCAAGGAACTTCCAAATTGTGGGCTTCGAGCAGGAGAGCATGGAATGGAATCCGCGATGCCAACCTTCTACGAT